CCGAGGAGCGTTTCCGCATCCGCTGGCGCCTCCGAATGCCCCGGGGCGTGGAGGCCGGGGTTCGGGGAGTGGGCGATGGACCCCTACAGGTGGGCAAATGGGCTGCCGACTCTGCGGCAATAAAGGCGGATGTGGAGGCCCGGACCGAAACGACGGCCGGTGTATTGCTATATCTCCGAACGGTGGAAAAGTCCTTGGATATCCGACGCAGATATTTGTGCGCCGCGAGGGGGGAGGGAGAATCCGTGACCACCATGCTATTTGCACGCTATTTTCCGCTAATGTGCTCTAATTAATTGAATTCGAAGCGGTTCGCGAGCGGCAGCTGCAACAGAATTTGCATCCGCAACCGAATCGGGCGACAGGTGAATCTCGACTGACACGCACCTGCACAGCTCACCTTTCGGTTTTGCCGAGCTTACCATGGCTATATGGGTATACAAATGGGCAATCTGCGAGAGCCCATCTCCGTTTGGGAGTGAAATTGGAAGCTGGCTGGGTGGATGGACCACCTACCCCACATAAGATAAGCCCAGCTGGCGGGAATCTGCCTAGACTTATTTACAGATCTAAAAGCTTTTTAACTACATTTCCCCATGGCGCCCGAAAGTATGGAGCGAAAACGAGTTTATTAACCAAAAACATAAAGTTTAACCCCTCAAAATCGCAGCCAAAGGACATTACTTCAGCTGGCAGAAGGCATTTTGTGGTCTGCCAAATGGCCATCTACCAAATATGTCACTTGGATTTGGTCCAAGGCTCTTGGCATTTGGTGTTTCATTTGCTTGGCAATTAAATTAATTGATTTTCTAAATAAATGATGGTCCAAATCAAATGGTATTTAATTTGCCGAATTACCAGCACAATCCATCGACTATCGAGTGTCTGCTCTGTAAGCTCAATCCACTAAATGGATTTCCTGATTTAATGCAGTTAATTAATTACCTTTGGCAGCTCAGTGGATGTGAAGCTGCTGGTTCAGTAATCCAATCAAATGCTTATTTAAAATACCTTTTCTTAGCTTATGGGTTAGGTGCACATTAGTAGGCAATTAGGTATGCAACAAATAGGTTTATAACAAATATTCAAAACATAATCAACAACAGCAATTGTGGGCGAACGTACAACGAAAACAATTAAATGATATTTAAATTAAGGTGGAATGTAGATTGCTTACCCTGGGCACGGTTATATTTATCAGACCCCAACAGATTTTTTTCAGTCCCCATGGTATCTTTAAGGGTTTCGTTTGTATTTTTTTTTGTGGGTGTACGTGGGTATTGACATTTACATTTTACAATTGTCATGTTGTTTTAGCGTTTACGTGTCACAGACACATTGCAGATTTGTTTATGGTCGTCGTTTGAAGGTCGTGGTAATCGTTGTTTTGATGTTTCAATATTCGCATATATTATTTTATCATTTGTGCAATTTCGAACACAATTTTGAACACGCACGCACACACACAGACACACGAAATGGTGCATTGAAAATTCAACAACAATTCATGGTTTGTAAATTATTCATTGTGGTTTTGTTTTTAATTTATTTTTTTTTTGGTGTTGTTTCGTGTGTGGTTTTGTGGGTGGGTGGGAGAATAGAGTGTGAAAAACACAAAAGAGATTAATTAACAGATCATAGCACAATAATTTAAATGGATAATAAGGATTGTTCATTGTGTCGCAGAACGAAATCAAATCCAAATCAAGGTGACAAATTTAATTTTCAAAGGACACGTTTTCGTTTTTTGGGTGTTTTTGAGTTACGCAAAGATTGGCGTGTCGGTGTGTGGGGTTCGTGTTGTGCAAAGCAAAGTTGAAAGTAGAAGAAAAATATTATGTTTTCAAATTAGTTTTAAGACTTAAAATAAATCGATCTTCTCCGATGCGTTCGGCGTTTATTTTTTTAGGGGGCAAACTATGTTGACTTACTACCAGACCGCTTTGATTCAAACTATTTTTAGACGAAAGTGGTGCCCAATTCTATAAGTATTACCGAGTTAAACTAGTTTTAAAATACCCATTCTATGATGTAATGATAACTAGTATTAATAAAAAATTTGCAATCTACTCTGGAAGGTTCCAGCTACTCATCCTGAAAATATGCATCCAAGTGATTCACGTTTAAGACCTGCAAATTAAACATTCTAGGAGAACTGTGTTTCCAACCGTTAAAACACACAGATACAAAAACTGTTAGACTAATTTAAACCTTGAACACCTTAAAATATATGTTGAAAATAGGGTTTTTCGTGTTCTCTCTCCTTGAAAATATACTAAAATCAGAGGAGTGTGAAAAACGACATTATTGTGAGTAAAACATGTTCAAACTGCCTTATTTGGAATATTCAAATATACTCCTAAAATATAGTTTTCTTATTTTTAAAGTGATATGAGTTTAAAAAAACGAGTATTATTTACTATTCTTTTTTTCGGTGCATCTGACACTTCTTGCGAGTAGTTAACATATCAAAACCACAGCTTAGAGTGAAACACAGACTTTGCCTAAGTACTCTGCCTGGTGTTGCGGCAAAGAGATGGCAGTTGCATCTGCAGGTAGCACTGAACAGGTAGTTGGAACACACTTTCCACACTCGTAAATGACAACTGCAGGTGCTCACAGGTGGGGCATAATTCCACACACCCACACTCACCGCATTCCCAGCCACACGAAATTCATGATATTTGCCACAATACTGAAGTGGAGACCCAGGACTACGACCAGAAAATGTCCACAAAGCACGTCCACATTTTACTCTTAAATTGTTTTAATAATTAAAAACCAAAATCTATGTTAATGAATTAGTTTATACATTTTAAATGATTCTGCAAGAATGAAATGTGACGAACATAGCTGGCATTTAATGTCATGAATCGTGATTACTCACTAATGAAGAGCTAAACTAATTCATTGATAAGTAAATTCGCTCTTTGTTTTTTAAATATATCTGGGGCTAAGGTTTTTTAATAAACAAGTATAAAAATATCTTTATAATATCACCAAGTGGGAATAGATTCAGCAGCCAAAAGTATTTAAAATGTGTGCATCTGACTGCCAAGCAACATTTCAACTGCAAGTTAACATGAACGGAATAAAAATGGACGGACAAAGTTTAAAAACTTATAACTACGAGTTCCCACGGATACGCCCGAACATTTTCCCCGAGCGAGCGGAAAACCAATTAAACTTTTAGCCCCCAATAGAACCGAGGGCCGTCGGCCGCAAAAAGTGGGCGAAACATTAAGAATGTTATGCTTATCTACTGTACTGCCGAACAGAACCTTTGGGCATATAAAGCATAACCATATATGTGCCGGTACAGGCATGTTCTACAATATGTGGATCCATGTTGGCATCTCTTCGGGGCCGTTTCATGCAGCATCTATTAAAATAAAAGCTTTCTCCTCCGGCGCAACCCAAGAGCCACAAAACTTTTGTGTGGGCATAAAACACAGTTCGGTTGATGTGGAAGGAAATGTGGCATATTTCAAATTAATTAAACGACCAACAGAGCCATGGCTAATAGCCATTGACGACCGACTGAATGAAATATAAAAAATACAATACAATACAAGTACTGCAGCGGCAACTTAATTAATTAAATTTTGTTTAACACTTCATTGCAATCCATGATTTTCAATGAGCGGGCTGAAGTGGGGGTGGCCCACTTAACCCCTTTGGTCCACTGTGCGGAAATTGCTAAACTAATTAGCCAATATGCTATTCGAACTTCGAACTCCCACAGGAAATCGGGGGTAACAATGGCCGGCCCGGAAATATGCAATGGCACTGAACTGAAAGCCAGAACGTGCGGCTATCCAATTAAGTTCGCCATCCGGAATCGAGCATAAAAATTGATGCACTCGCAGTTAGGATTAAACCGCAGCAGCTCGATAATGTTCAGCCGCAGGATGCAATTTGCCGGGCCACCTGTCTTATCGAGACCGATAAAAGTTGTGCAACATAAACAGCACTTAATACCCAGCACATCAGGACCCGTCATCCCAACCACAGCCTCATCCTCATCCGGCCGTGCATAATGCAAGCTGGCGAATAACAAAAGGGGAGATGGGCGATGGGCGATGGGTGGTGGGTCCTTCAGTGTATTTCACCTGCTGTGCTGACTTGTGGGTTCCCAAAGTGGAAAATTGATGGAGAAGCTGCCGCCGATGCTGCAGGAGCTTATGCTGATGCTGGATGCTGGTCTTGCGGCTGTTGCCATGGCTGATGAAGTGCCACATTCGTTCTCCAAAAGCGCCAGAAGACGTCGCCTCGCCGTTCTGATGGATTGGGGGTCTGAAGTGGCAATGGGGTATATTCAGCGATTTTGCCGAGTCCCGCTTTTGCATGGCTGAGTCTCAAAAGAAGTGCGAAATTGACTTTTTGTAGAGTCCACCTCAAAAGTTTGCTCACTGGCTCAGAACCAGAAATGCCAACAATCCATTCAAAAAGGGATTTGAGACTGGGTATAAATAATAAAAGGGGATCCCACAATTGCTGCTCTATAACTCGCTTTGGGAGGAATTGCATTTAGTAGTAAGTTCATTTTAAAATCAATTCAAAAATGGATTTGAGACTGGGGATATATAATAAAAGATTGCTGACCTGTAACTGGCTTTAGGAGGAAGTGCATTTAAAAGTAAGTAAGTTTATTGAAAAGTCCATTGAAAAACTGGGGGTAAATAATGAAAGGGGTACCATCTATGATCTTATAAAAGTTAATGTATTTTTAAACTCATATTTATTTATGGCCAATTTAAATCTGCTTTTTGATTTGCCAAATCTAAATAAACATAGAAAGTATTATTAATTAATATAATACTAGTCAAACTTATCGTCGTAAAATTTTTTATTATAATTATTGATTAGGTTTTTCCGAGAAATAATATTATATGATTATATATTCCGTTAAAGTAAAAACTAGGCAAGCTAGAAACAGAGACAGAACGGAGAAATATATAATATTTTTGCTATTAAATTTTATTTTTATGAATAAAAAATATTATAATGGATCAGTACTTTTTCCCCCTAAAGCTGAATTGTCATCACTGAGGCGACTGTATTTCATTGGGAATTCACTCTCCGCTTCACAGTCGACAGCTGCTGATTAACACAAAACGGCAACAGAACGGCGGAGACATAACAACAATAACAACAGCCACCGAAACAGCAAACACAGATATGTCAGGCGAATCACCAATAGACCGGTTAGACCCCAAAAACCCAGCGAACTGCACTTCTCCGTCGTACAATCGCCAATTAATTACAATTACTCATGCAGGGCTGGTCTACTCACAAACACCCAATTGGTCTCGAAGTACATGGTCAGCTCCAGATGCACTTGGTCGGCGGGTTTGGGGGTATCCACATGCTCCAAACTTACTCACGCGACTATCTAATCTCGCGGCGAACTACGCTTCATGTGCGTACACGGTGAAAAACTTTTGGAAACCTGTTGTTTTCGTGGTTATACAAATTAAGAATAAAAAGTCTGATACTTAACTAATGAAATTATTAATTCAATTATTTAATTTTACTTGTTTTAAAAATTCATTACAAAACAGTTTTTAACTTTATTTGGGGTTTCCATTGAAAATCTGCTCTTGAAACTTAGTTAAACATTAGAAATCTTATTTTGACCACAATATTACGGTTTGGTTTGCTTTTGAAAAAAAAAATAGAAAATGGAATTCTATATTTTGTAGTTTTTCTTTCCTTTTTTAAAAGAAGGAGTTCGTTTATAGTACATTTAGAGATATTTTCTGATAATCTAAAAAATAAATCTTATAAGGTTTTTAAGGTATTTCATTTGGTGAAATATCTATTGAAATTAAAAAATTTAATTTTAAACAGATAATGTGTTTTAAAATGATATTTCTAATGTTAAAAATTCTTTACTTTAATGAAAGTATTTGAAAACGAAATTCAAATATCAACTTTATATTATTTCCTCCACGAAACATACGAGTTTTGAGTCGATAAAAATGTTGCTACGATTTTAGAAGTTCCCTTTTCTCGCGGTGTATTCGCTTTCGGAGCGAGCGATTCCCGCTTGGCTGGCATGGAGCCGCATCGAGTACTGAGCCATCGCCGCGGAGAGCTTTGCCACTCGGCCAAGGCGAGCGGTGTCAATTAGCAGAGCAAATATAGGGGCAATATTATCGACAAAGCCACAACAACAAAAATCGAGAGCGATAAGCCCCTGGGAGAGTCTAACGCATTGCGTTCTCTGCGATCTCGACGGGTTGGATTTCAGTATATAAAGTCCGGGAAACTTGAAGGGAAACTTTTGCAGTTTAAAAGCATTTTAATGCCCATCGCAAGCGGAAAAATGTGCAAGGCATAATTATGTTGATTCTCAAAGTTTTCCATTTAGCCTCCACTTTAGTGCGGCCCCCCATGGCCACAACTCAAACAATTAAAGTTTCGCCAGCGAATAAGTCAAACAGCTGGTCCCCCAACTATCTGGCCCACTGATAAGCAGCTGTCAGTCAAATTGTTGGATAGTTGATAACAACACCAAGAATCTAAGAGACTAGAAACTCAAAAGATACTCTTTCTCAAACAGGTGTCAATCATCTAAAGTTTCTGCTTTGGTGCATACTTTCAGGCGGTTACTGGAACTTCCCTTAATTATACTTTAAAGGCCTGTTCTGGTCTTCACTTTATGTTTGCCAATTAAAGAGCATTTCACGATAGATATTATTATATTACCGCTAACATTTCTAGTTCCAACATCAGTTGGGAAAACCAAAAAAATAAATAAACGTTTTTAACTTAGTTAAAGTTAAAAAGACAAGGTTGTCTATGGTTTTCCATATTATTCAACTAGATCATACAACTACAATACAATACTATTTATGGAAACTTTCGAATTTGTTTAGTTAATAAACGGATAGGTTTAAATTTAATATAGATTTGATATATCTCTTTAACCAACGATTTAAGAACTAGGTGCATAAAAAGCCATATTTAAAATACATACTAATTTATCTAAGTACCTCTTAGCCTAAAATAAATAGAATGTATGTTTAAGCAGCATTCCATAATCCTAAAACTTAAATTTCTTTAAAATATTACCGAAAATGAAAATGTCGTTGAATAGTTCACTTTTGCAAAATGTTGGCAAAAGTGAAAACAAGAACAGGCCTAATTAAGAAAGCCAATGTCTAGGTGAAGAAGCCAACTAGTTACTTAAAATAGATTTCCAATAATACTCTAAATGGCCAAAAAGTTGGGCCAACTAATTACTACGAGATAGTTCAAAAAGAAAACTACGAACAAGAACTCGCAATAGTTTGGCTACAAAACTACACTAGACAGCTTCCAACAAGGCCATTGAAAGGGGGATGAAAACTCAGGAGGTAATTGTAGAGCGAGATAGTTCAGTTTTCCACAACAAAGCAGTTTGGCAGTCAGTCAAATAGCAATTACAGAGCAAAGAGCAGAGGAACGTATCGGTTTGGATGGGTGAAATATACTATATAGATCGAAATTAAAAGCACCTGAAGAGATAGGCGTTAAAGGGGGGAGAAGATATATATGGTATAGTATTCGGAGAGGCTCTCGATCTCGGAAGGTACGATGGTGTTGCTTACCGGTTTCGCTTTGGGTTTCTGCTTGGCCAAACGCTTCTGTTTCAACATCGTCCACAGTGGACGCACAGACACGCACACATAAACAACTGAAAACAGGAGTGAGAGGACTCGGATGGTATATAGTTATTGGTACTGGTATATGGTGGATACGATGGACTGTGGACTGTGGACTGTGGACGGTGGTACGGGTGGACGACGGGTGGTATCCGCTTCAATTGATTTCCGCCTGCGAGTGAGGCTTCTTGGCCTGCAGGGTTAAGAAAAACAATTATGAAATATCAATTATTTATGGACTTCGCTGGTCTCGCTTTGTCTTTGGCGTGCAGGCATGCAGAAGGATATTTGTGCTGTGCTGTGTCGGTTCTCCGGGGGATTTGTCACGTGTCATGCGGGATGTATCTTCTACAAAGCACCCAAGCTCACAAAAAAATAAGCCCCTCTGTATTAAAGCCCCGCCTTTGTGCTCCGGCTAAAGTGTAAACAAAACGGCACAAACAAATGAAAAACGAATGCCAGGACCAGGACGCACAAAATTCAAAACAAAATAAATACAACGGAATTTTCCCATTCACCTTGCACCCAATTATGAACCTCTCCAAGGAATGCCAATGAAAGGGTTTTTTTTCTGTTAATGCATGCTAATTGTGTTTGCTTAGGGAAACAGGACGAGAAAACGAAACGAAAACGAATACCCAAGGAAACGAAGACTCTTGAGATCCCCGGGTACTTACCTTGACGGGTTTCTTCACGGGCACTGGACGCGAGTACTGGTGGTAGACCTGGACATGATTCGATGTGAATTTACCCAACATGTGTAGCTCGAAAAGATGGGGGTGGTGGAGCGGGGCGAAATGGCTGGTGTAGCTCTGCAAAGAGTTGAATGAATTATTAACACACCGAGTCCCAAGTTCATATTCAACACTTAAAAGCTAGGACCTTTTCTGCACTTGCAACGAAAGGCAAGTGCTGGGAACTTATAATTAGGTAGAAGTGGTGGGCTCTTAATTACAGCTTTGAGTTTTAATTACTTTGCTGTAGTAACCAATCACTTGAAACTTAATTACTTAATTACGTAATAACATTCACTTTATTCAAATACTTTGCCTTAGTCCTAAGATACATTCTGTAATATATGTTCATAGGGTGGTCTACCTTTGTATAGAAATTTTATAGGTACTACTGAAGGTATACCAATATAAATGTTTTTATGTTGTTTCACACGTACTGTGGTTTTTGATAAAATCTAAATTTAAAATAAATACATTTGTTTTTGTGTCTCCCTTATTTTTGCAATTATTCCAGCAAAATTATTAATAATAATTAGTAAGGTAATAATGCTGTTGGTAAACGATTTCCAGGGCTGATTTTAACTGTCATACTCACATGTACGACTATTTTTTGAGTAAACTTTAAGACCAATTAGTCGTATCTAAATCATAAAATACATTGATATTAGTTTATAAATATATTTTTAGCACGACAAAATCTACAACATTTAAAGGTAAGAATAAGATTATTGGATTTGGAACACAATGTGCAAACGGGTTCTACGATTAATCTTCCAGATATTTTAATTGGTGATATAAGTTGATTTATGTGTTGAGTTGAGTAAAGTTTTGATAACCTATTTAATACATTTTTAAATGTAAATGAGGAGGTTACTTATAACCACAAGGTTAAGTTAAGGAAAAAAATTTTGTGTCACAGACTAAAACAAAATAAATTTCAAAACATGAATAAACAATTTAAAGCATCTTTAAAAAAAAAATGTAAATGTAGTATTATTTGTTCGTCAAGGCCTTTGAATCCTTTGAGCTGGAAAGGAAACCCCTTCTTTTGGCATCAGAAAACTCCCAGATGACCTTTCTATTGTGACGGTCTGCGACACATGGCCAGCATCCTCCGACTCCAACTGCGACTCCGTTTGTGGATCCACATCCCGAATCCGTCTCAAGTGACAGGACGGGCTGTTATTCATTACGGTAATGCGAGATGGCCACAGTTCTGGACAGGACGTGAGTGGGCGGACCCCGGCCAGAGCCAGAGCTCCAAAGTGAAATGAAATAAGCGCTGGCAACAGCAAAAGTTATGCCAAGTATTCCCGGCTAAGCATGAATCAAGTGCCATAACACGAGCACCCCGACAGACCGAGAAACAAAAAGCAAAAGGCAAAAAACGAAAGGCGAAAGCCAGAAAAGCGAGAAAGTAAAGCCCAAGTAAGAAAGTCCTGGGCCGCGTGCTCTTAATTTGCGGAATTCAAGACATTCGCTTTCATTCGAGATTATACTCCGGCATTATAATCCGCCGGATGGGTGGGACTCACAGCCCAACATGTTGGCTGCACTAAACACTCCAGAGAAAGAAAAAAAAACCGCTGTGTGTAGTAGACGATAAAATCAATATCTAAATACGATTCCCACCCACATGTGATTAACTTTTGTGCAGTCAGTAAGGCACAAAATTGAGATAACGCGCCATTAAATTTATGCATGAACAAAAGACATTTTAGCCAAAGTACGCAGGACACGTCGGTCCTTCGTCCCCTAATGATTGCTCAAACTTATAATTGGACTTTAATAAGCAATTGCCTGGCAGGCAATATCTGTGTGTGCGTTCTTGTGTCGAATTATTAAGGATGCTTTAACTTGTTGTTCGATGAAAGGATGGGATGGGAACTTCGGTGGCAATGTGATTAACTGGAGGGACTTAGTGCCATATCAATCGCGGATTAAGTACCGCAACTACTTGCAACAAACTTGAGAGAACCCAGCCAAGTTTCCTGCGGTTTTCATTCGCAATTTGCAGTGAGCCATGGCCCAACCACTTGAGGACTGTTCCTGAGTGCCACAATCAGTCTGCCGAGTCCGACGATGGGTGTGAAATTTATATGCCCGCCCGCATTTGCGTCACTGTTTAAGGATTTTGCCCCACTGGCGCGCAAATGATTGCGACGGAAAGGAGACAAGGATGAAAGGACCTGCCTCCGGGGGAACCAGCACCAGAACCAGAACCAAAGGAAGAACAAGAAACGTAGCCATGTGCCACGGCATGTGCTCGATGCCCCCACCTCCAGTCCACATTATTTTCAGTTGTTTTATAACAGCGTGATTTTAATCCTCTTAGCTTTCTTTTCAATATTTTCTAAGAAAAGAAACACATATGTGTTTCCGGTTTTTGTGTGCGATATAACACACAATGAGTAATAATTAAAAAGAATTTTTCGCTCACATGTATAATTTACCTATTCATGTAGGGAAATTGATAGCCTTAATCCTATTTCAGTTAAAAATGGACATTTAATCTTTAAATAAAAATATTGTTTCCCTGATTGAATAATATGGTTAAATGTTTAAGTAAACGCATAATTATAAAGTAAATCCTAACACTCCTTTTAAAAATGTGCAATGTTATTTAAGTAAAAACCAACTTTGATAGCCTTAATCCTGTTACAGATAAAAATGGACATTTAATCTTTAAATAAAAAATATTATTTACCTGAATGAATAACATGGTTCAATCTTTAAACACACCTTTAAAAAATGTACAATGTTAGTTAAACAAAAAACATCTTTGATAGCCTTAATCCTGTTACAGATGTTATTGGACATTTAATCTTTAAATGAAAATATTATTTCCCTGATTAAATAATATTGTTAACGGTTTAAATAAGTGTTTAATAACAAGGTAAGTTTGCACAGATTTTTAAAAAATTAACAATGATATTTAAATAAAACCACCTTTGATAGCATTAGTCCTGTTTCGGATAATAATGGACATTTAATGTTTAAATTATAATATTATTTCCCTCTTTACACGATGACTATAATTGGATTTTAGCTATTGGTCGGTACTTTAAAAATATTTTTTCTTTATTTCTGAGCTGTTAATTGTATGAGCTAATTTGTTAATGTTTAATTATAACATAAATTTAAAAACTTTCATATATAAGCACTTAAAGGGTTGGGAATATCATAGACTTTAACCCAAAGGTGTAAAATATGGTCTGCGTATTTGAAATAAAAGGGTAGTCCTTAACTCCCCGTAAGTGTTAATTGCATGACCATCAGTCATCGCCAATTGGGGCTGGAGGCACCTCTGCGGACACTGTCGTCGAGTGCCAGGAGTGCTTGCCTGCCTGGATGAATGGGCTCCTAATTGAGATAAGAGTGACGCAGGCTGCTGCCTCAGGCGATGAGAAATGAACCTAGGATGTGCCAACTCAAACATAAAAAAATAACACTTTCGCTGGCACTTTCTCCGGCGATGTCCGAGCCAAACAAATTAGCGGGGCCAAAAGCGGCCAGCAGTATGTCTGGCGAACCCTGATTATTGGCAATCCAAGGGAATGGGGCCGGGGGTCAGAGAAAGGATAATGGCAAGGGTAAACTGACCCACAAACACGATTAAGGGGCCCAAGGACATGGCCTCGTGTTGGGGGTAAATCTTTGTGTGTTCGCTGCTGTTGTCTCTGCAATCATTCAAGCGCAGACAAATGCCCTGGTGTTTGTTTATGTCAACATTGTGTCCTCTGCCACTTTGACCCACTACACACACTCTCACTCTCACTCTCACATGCTCTTCATCCTCGACGATTTTTACCCATTTTCCTGGCTTTTTTTCTATTTTTTTCCAGGACATCACCAACATAATGGCTCTCATCAGCTGAAAACTGAAATCCAAGAGAAAGCAGCTAACTAACGAGAGCGCCGTCCACAAACCGGATTGAATAGTCGTTTAAACTGTCATCATTCTCCGTGTGCCAATGATTTGCGAGCCCCCAACCGAAAAACATTTTCCACTGGCTGGACTCTCGACCGGATTGTAGTGGTCACCGAAAGTAGCCAGAGATTTATTTCTCTTTGACCGCATTAGCCTGAGCTCTTCCAGACCCATAAATCTTAATTAAATCCCTATCTCTATCGTTAAACAATAGGTTTTAGTTGCATTTCTAGTTTTACTCGATTTGTCCAGTCAAATGGCCGATTATCATGTGTTATTTATAACATCTAGCGAAAGTTGTCTAAATTTGTACAAATTTTAAATAATATAAAATAATTGTTATATCAAGTGTTATTATAATATGTGTTATTTATAATATCTAGAGAAAGTTGTCTAAGTTTATCCAAATATTAAAAAAATTAAATTATTTGTTATACCAAGTGTTAATATAATATATGTTATATATAACACCTAGCGAAAGTTGTCTAAATGTATTTAAATTTTAAAGAAATTGAATTATTATACCAATTCTTTTGCTTGTCGCTAAAATTGGCAAACATATATGTACATATAAGTACAAACTATAATTTGGCTGTAAATCTTGTTGGTCGTAAAATCAATGAATCTATAATAAACAATAATTGTGTATAATTATTCTGCCCCTGACTTTCGAGAGCTCATCAAATTGGCAATTACTAAAATTGACTTATATTAGCGCGAATTATAATTTATGATGGCAAATGTTTGCCATTCAATGATAGAGAATATATCTATTTTATTTTTATGGCTTGTGAAAGGAACTTGAAAGATTTAAAACATTTTCTTAAGGTTTCATCTGCAAATAAAAAGCTAATTTAATCAAGATCCCTTGGCAAACTTGAGGATGCGTTCCTGTATCTGCTGACTAAACATTCGCACCAAACTCTCGGCCACGCTAACTTGGCTGTAGGCCAGGGCACAGATGGGTTTGCTGTTTCTCATCTTGTCGGCGATGGCCAGTGTCCAGTCGATCTCGTGGGGATGAGTCTGACCCTTGACGAACCGGGCGAACATCTCCGGCAGCCAAATGGCACCATCCCGGCAATAGGTGCACTGCTTGCAGGTGTGCTTCTCGAAGAACTGGATGGAGCGCAGCATCACCGCCAGAGGATCGCTGTCCTTGCTCATCACGATGACGGATCCACATCCCAAGCCGCTGCCCGCCGAGATTAGGCAATCAAAGTCCATGAGAACCTCCGAGGCAGTTGGTGGATTCAAGAGAGGTGTGGACAGACCGCCTGGGAATACAGCCGCCAGATTATCCCAACCGCCTTTGACTCCACCAGCATGGCGTTCTATTAGATCCTTCAGCGGAATGGACATTTCCTCCTCCACAGTGCAGGGATTATTAACCTCACCGCTGATGCAATAGAGCTTGGTGCCCGTGTTGTAACCGCGGCCCAATCCGGCCCACCATTTGGCACCCCTTCTCAAAATGGTGGGAACTACGGCAATGGACTCGGCGTTGATCACCAAGCAGGGGTGATTAAAGTAACCCTTCTCCGTGAGAAAAGGTGGACGACGTCGGGGTCTGCCCAGTTCGCCCATTAAACAGTTTATCATGGCCGTCTCCTCGCCACATAAATACCGATCTCCTCGCTGGACCATCACATCGAACTTGATGCCTGTTCCGCAGGCATCATCGCCCAGCAGACCATGATGATAGGCCTCGGCCAGGGCAAAGTGCAGGTTGCAAGCCTCGTTGTAGAACCGGTTCCGGATGTATACGACGGCCCTGCCGCATCCCATGGCCACGCCCACCAGGAGCATGCCCTCGATCAGTTTGTGCGGTTCGTGGCGCAAGATCTCCCGATCCTTGCAGGTTCCCGGTTCTCCTTCGGCGCAGTTCACGATGACAACCTTGGGTACCTTTTCGGACTTGGTCTGCCGGAGGAACTCCCACTTGAGTCCGGCATAGAAGCCAGCTCCTCCACGTCCACGCAGTCCGCTCTTGCTTACCTGGTCCATAATCCATTCGGGACCCTGCTCCAGGAGATCCCCGGTGCGATGCCAATCTCCACGCTCGCAGGCTCCCTCCAACCGCCAATCGTGGCGTCCATAGAGATTCTGGAAGACCCGATCGCAGTCATCCAGCGGCCCAAACTTATTCTTGGTATTCGGTTTATATCCCTTCGGTGTGACGGAAATCTTGGGCCTATCTGGACCCAACTTTGTGGACTTTTCCGACTCCTTGACAGCCTCCTTAGCCCGAGTTTGGACCAGACGCAGTTGCTCTCTCCACCAAGATGGCAAATTGTTTTTCAAAACCTTGCGAAACATTTTCTGGGCTTGTAAAATAGATAACATGTTTTGGCCTGTTCTTAAAAAGCCAGGAAGTGGAATGGCAATTTACTCAAAGAATGCTACTACGAGTACTACCTTATACAAGTTATCTTTTAAACTGCAATTAAGATTCCCTATAACATTGCAGAACTAAACAACATTTTAAATATAATTCCTTTTAAAATGTGAGTTTGCTATCCTTTTGTGGTTTATAATATACTATTTAAAATCCAATCGCTTTCAATTTGTCTTACTAGAATCAAGTTATTGCTGTAGATACACATGTTCATATTCCAAATTTAAATCTATTTGCCTGACAAATGATGGCAGCGGGTGGTTTCATCCTTGTAAGACGAGCCCTGCTCTATTTTATTCAAATTTGGGCTCAAATTAGAAACTGAAGGCCAGATCTAAGCCAGCATTTGGGCCAAAATCCTTTTTTAAACGAGTTTTCTTGCCCAAAAGACCATAGACATAGACGGACAGCAAAGTAAATACGTCGGGGCCAAAGTTGGTCGACGACAAATTGGAAGACTGAAAGTAGCGCAACAAATGCTGCCATAACGACAATGGGACAATAAATTCAGGAATATACCGGCAGCACACCCCACAACACCCACAATCACCCACAACCACCCACATGGCAGATGCGAGGCACTTTCCCCAGTGCGACGACATGTGCGAATGCGTATACGTAATTTTCTATGAATCGAGCAACAGCAGCAGAAGCAGTGGCACAGACAGCCCCTTTCAATTTATGCAGCCATCCGACAGCAATTCGCCTTTAATGGCAGCCAACAAAAGGCAGCCCGAAACCAGATGAACTGGAGACGAGTATGTGGTATTTGGTACCTAGTAGCTCTTACCTGTTACCTGTTACCAGGACCAGCAACCTGAGAGGGTTTCAATTAGCGAGCTTTGTGTCCCAAAATGAAATGGTACTCGCACGCAAATGAGTTGCCAGCGACAAACTGGAGTCTCGCCTCCCGGCCAACTCATTAGCATAGACTAATGGGCGCCATGAGGAGCATCCTGAGGGGTTCCCAAGATGCACTCCTGCTGCATTAAGAGATTTCGTGCAGGTGGCCCCAGCAACCCACAAATCACGGATTTAATTGGCGGAATTGTTGGTTTAGGACTGCGGAGAAATTTCAGCTAAGAGACACAATGGTTTGGGTCTTGCTTTAAGGACACTACACTTGCAGTTAAGCCACTTGAAAAAATATTCGTAGTCGTTATTATTATTATTATATTTAAATTGTTTGTTCTTATATACCCTTGCAACTACTCATTTTAATAGCATTGCGTGGTTTCGCTCAATTAAAATCATTCGTATATAACAGACAACGGATATGCATAGGATTTTAATATAAATTGACTCATAGTCCCTATGACAAAGATATTATATAGTTGTCCGATTGGTTCCTAATAGTATTTAAAATTCTGAAATGGTATACCCCAGAAGAGAAGATCATATAATGATAGCTGAACCTAAAAACGTGTTAAAGTATAAATGTGCATTAGCAAACATTACGATAAACTTAAAGATGGGGATTTCAGATGTTTACTCCAGTGAGTTCCTTGATATGCAAAATCTTTGTATTATAGAATGTACAATATAACCAATCCTGACATCGAGTTCAAGTCCATTCGATTTATGGTTTTTTATGTATCCTTTTTTCAACATTACTATACTACACTATACTATATAGTATTTTTTTTAGGTGTTTGCCCTCTCGACCCCAATGCCAGAAGGTAAACTGCAATCCCCCGCCAGAAGTCGAGTTGTCGCTACCCTTGCGGGAGGTGTTTGTGTTTGTTTTATGAGCTCAGTTTGCTCAGCTCTGGTTGATTTCGTTATTATTATTGCTGGGTAATGTTTTATGGCCACTTTGTGGCTGTTTTCACACTCAGTCGGCCAAAGACCACAAAGCCACCGACCAAAAACAATCAGGACAGCAGGCGCTGAACACTTTTCTGCGCCACGAAAAGCAAACAATCAACGCACACCGGAGATTAGCTCTAATGGAGTAGCCATTCCAGTTTCGGTTTCAGTTCACAAAATAACTGAACAGATCCCATCGCGGAATTCACTCCCTTGTTTGCATTAGCAAATGCATTGTGTACTCCCTATGGGGGCTTTTGTATTATGTGTTGAATACATTAACGATTGGATATTTTAGGTACACTACGGCTAACTAGTTGTTCGCTTACATTTACTCAACAAATAACTATGTTCTAACAAGGTTTTGAAAATAGCCTGAATCCAAAAATGAACCATTCATCCATTTGATTAGGCTCTACTCCAAGGATCACAACTTTTTATAGAGCATTTAATGGTTGTGGCAACACTACAACTTCTTTATAGAGTATTTAATGGTTGTGGCAAGCGACATTCCTACCGAAAATTTATAGACGCACATGCCTGTGCTTTTTGTGTCCTTGCTTTCCATGTGTTGCAAAGTGATTTATCAACCATTAAATGGTATGTAGGTGAACAATTAAATCGGAAATAATGAACCTACACAATTTATCGATATTCAGAGTGATTGGATTTCCCTATTTTTGATAAACCACTTTTTTATGCTAATTACTGGGTTACGTGCAGCTAAAGAGTCCCGAGCTTAAATGGCCTCAACAGACTCTCAACTAACTGCATTTACCGCACATTTGACACTTGCCACATGTGCCAACGAGTCGATATTGGCACACTAAACTAAACAGCAATCAATAGACGCCCCAAGGACACTGCCGCCGCCATCGACTTTAAATAAGCTAATTTACATGCACACATGGAGCTCCTGGTGGCAATTTGTAAGCGTCGACGACAATGCCAGCAAATTTACAGCCCACGGAGGCAGTTGCAAGTGCCGCAGCTGCACATTAATGGCCTGGTTGGCCCACTGGCATCCCAGCTTCAAGTACCAGACCCTCAGACCCTCCAGACCCACCAGACCCACCATAACCACCAGATCCTCCACTCAGACCCCAGACGATTGTGGTTTGTCTTCAGTCAACCAGCCAGATGCTGCTTGTTTTTGCCATCAGACATCAACTCATTATCGAGCCAGGAATTGAGCAGTTCATCCAACTGTTGCATTGCTTGGTATTGGTTTTTGGGTTTAAGGGAGATTCATGAATTAATTAATTAAGATTCAAGATTTCCAGATTTTATGGCTTTAGGCTACGGAATATAAGATACAAATATTTTTGTTGTGGAAATTAGTCCAGCCTTAATACTTGTAGCTACTTCAGGGATTTTCAAGCAGATTTAAAAGCAGTATGTACTAGTTTTCAATCCGGATTTAGACTTTAGGAAATTGCATTTTTGAGGGCCAAAGTTTGCTCAGCCAACCTACATTTATTCAAAGACAAAAGATTTTAACCACCAGAGCAAATATTGTTGAATGTTTAACAAGAGGAAAACCAGAAAAGTTAGATTTACACCAGCTTTACTGTTCTTCAATGGCTTTCCACTTTTTGTAGCACACTTCTGAGGGCAGCGCATTAAAGGTGCCAACTTCAGGCATTAAAATGTAAAAGCAATCTCGCTTATGGGCAAACAACAGGTACCAGGTAGCCAGGTAGCCGAGTGAAAGAACGCAGGTGAGAACCGTAAAATTCACATTTAAAGGCAGCAAACACAAAAAGGGCTAAATGTCCGTGAGTGGGGGCCCCATAAACAAAACTGAAAGTATTTATAACATGCAAACACGCCGTGGTGGACCATGGTCATTTGCATGCTGACCCCACAAATATGCATGTATGTATGCATGAATGTGCTGTATGAAGTGGAAAAAGGGGTGAAGGGTCAGCGCCTGCAAGTTAATCACGTGCCATGAAAAGTCACGCGTACTTCCCAACTGGCGACCCCTGCAAAAAGCTTTGAACATGGGCAGACAATTTCAAAAGTCGTGAAATCAGGACAGCCGAATACATGCAAGTAAATGTGTAATAATGCACAGGAAAATACCAAAAAACAACCAGTGCAACGAATTGAGGTTGCACAAGTTTTGGAGGTCAGAAAACAAAACTTTAAGACCAACAACAGCGAAAGCCAAACAACGTTAAAATTGCAATCTGAAAAAAAAACACAACCTTAAGAAAATCTAAAAATTTATCGCCGGTATAAAGCGCTAGTTGCTCCCATTTAATAGGCAAAAAATAAAGTTTTTGAATTCCATGTGATATGTCGCGAAAGCAACGTAACTTAATTGGATCCAAAGAGTACTTAAAGCCAGTCATGGACATCCAGTCTGTTCCAATAGTTCATTTCACTACACCATGTTATGGCCATAGTGGTGGCCATAAAAATGTCCAATTCCGACAATGCGTGTCAAGCTCTTGGAAACCAAAGAAATTTTATTTGCGACCATTTTACGACCGGTTCTTTTGATGGCAACAACATGCACTAGCAAACTTTCCACTATTTATAACACTCAATTACCGACCGTGATTCTGAAACTCGGGTTTAATACGAGTGATTTGAATATTAAAGCCATGGTAAAAGCACACTCATTATAATAATAAATTATGGAATTAACACCGTGGCTAAAGGTAAAGTTTCTCTGGATAATTATTTTTCAATTTGGATTTAATGGGTGTTATTTGAATATTTAATATTATGGCTAGGGATATTGCAATGTGTTTCTGAATAAACCGATGATATGGTATAATAACTCTCACTATAAAAGTTTTAAAGAAGTTTCTATTGGTGGATGAATATATTTGGGATTACCATACCTTACTATCGTTATTATAACTTAAAGACTTAATATTAATCAATCTTTAGTACTCACTCAAATGCCCCAGGAACCAACGAAACTAAAGCATTTTAAGCACGGCTTCTCAAGGTCAGACCGTTTTCCCCGCCATTATGTTTTTACCTATGTTTGAACATCCCCATCCTTTGTCCGGGTCTTTCCTTTCACGGGGTCACGCGCATAAATAAATTTAAAAATCCGTCCCATTCGTTGCAATGGCACGTCAACAGTTTTCCCCGGTCCACTCCAGAAGTGTGGGGGAAATAAGTTTTCCACTTTCTTATGCACGTAACT